CCTGTCTGTCACAGCAACTGATCCTAAGTATTCTTATTTAGTATACTTGAGGCATTAAAACATTCTCATTTTTTAGAGAGGCATATTTCGGCCTCATTAAATTGTTAAGCAAATCAATATGCAGTCCTACAATTTGATTGCTATGTTCTAGAAATCCTGTGTTTAGCACATTTTTAGGCACCATTTAAAAGGGTTCTCTTCCTCAAATACCAGAAATCCTCTGCAGCTCTAGCATGTTAGGATTCTCTTATCAGATCCGAGGGGGACATCTGTCACCCCCACTGACCCCCAGGAGGATCTGGCTGTGCCATCCTATTGATCACCAGAGCTTGATTCTCTTATCTAGTAGTTAATGCAAATCAGTTACAGGCTGCTTGCTCTGAGCAATGTCTTCACACCAGGTCACCCAACAAAAAAGACAACACAATGACTGCTCCCATGGTCTGGAAACCACAAGCAGAATCTAGCCTGGAATTCGTTTCCTTCTCTTTCCTCAAAATCTGCCATGATCTCAACAGAGAGAAACAATGATTACCTTGAACCAACCACTATGGTCCCTTAGTCTTTTATACCTTCCCTAGCTCTACAATCAATCAATTTAAAATGAATCATTGATTTGGTTTAAGGAGAAAGCAGAGCTCACAGGATATTGCCAAGTATAGACATGTCTTTTTCTTCAAAACATATATGGGTGTCACATGCTTTTTTACTATGTCCAAGGTCAAAAGATAATAGAGTAACTCTGCCATAACGCTATAGGTGGGGTGCCCCAAATTCAATCCTATTAAAATGAAAAAGTGCATTATTAACACAGTAATGACATGAGAAGGCAAGTCTGAGCAGCTACTGGGTCAGGAATTAAAGGGGAGCAGGATGCAGGGAGAGAATAGGGCCCGTTGCAAAATCTAAATCACTCCTGGTCCAAGCTTTGGTTGGGCGCTAACTCCTGGTTGTTGTCAGCTCAAACATAAATATTGATGAGGAATTCTGGTTCTGTGGCCAGCAGAGACTTCAGAATTTCATCCAGTTAGTGGGTGCTCATTTTGCTTCCCTGCTTCGTAAGACTTCCCTTCCCCTAAAGATAAGAACTGTAGTGTGAACTGGTTAAGAAAGGGAAGCAGACAGGACAAAGGACAGCCAGTCACCACTGTGAGTATACACTAAGTCTTCAACCTAATTCTGCTTCCTCTACCCCCACCTTGTCTTAGACAGTAGAGGAGAGACATTCTTTCTTGCAAACACTTCCACTCATAAAATCTTTGCCTAGTGGCAGCAATGTCTGGTCCAGCTGAAGCGTCGGGCAATAAAACCGTTGTCAGCAGTGATCACGTTTGCAGACACTCTAGGTCTGGAATTCTTTGCTGGCATGTCTACATGTTTAAAAAGTTCTTGGAAGTCTGGTGGTTTCGAGAAAGTATGTTGTTTCTTCTGAGAAACTGAGAAAACCTCAAGGACCAAGATCTTAAAATAAATATATCAGCTTGGTGACCACTTAACTCAGCTTGGCCATGGCTATTGTCCTCAGCTCGGCCATGGCTATTGTCCTTTCTTCGGATTAGAATAGAGTGAATAGGGACATAGGAGCACGTGGCTACCTTTAAAGCAAGGTTTGAGAGTCATCATTGAAGCTATTTGCCCCAGAACATCAAATCTACCACCTATCATTTTAGCTACATTACTTTGGCTCTTGAAGACTTTTTCTTCCTGAGTCTTATCTAACGCAACTGTCTCTGGAAAGGATTGCACCCGAAGCCATCATTTGGTGATGACCAATGCACAGAGCATTTGGGATAAGAATGGAGCCCCAAAATGGTGGGTAGGGAGGACTTTAAGAAGGAAAGAGGAAATCAATGAAGAAGGAGGTAGAGAGCCATCAAATTTTGCTTTCCTCCCAATTTAGCCTAGAACTGAGTTTGGAGGAAAACCTGTCATTCTCTTTGGGTGTTATGATGTTGTTTTTCAACTTCCATGCAAAATTTTTGCTCATCATCTGCACTCACATTACCACATGGGGCCTCTCTATCATGCCTAAACTAGGGAAATAAGTTACCTGTATATCTGCTAGTCTTTGCATAAAATTGCCTATTTTAAATATTTCTACTTTGTTTCAGATAGCTTAATGCCCCATGGCTTCTTTTTGGTTATTTCTTGCTGCTAAATTAGGAGAAATGTTTGGTGTGATTCCTGGTCAATAAATATCCTACCTGGGCTGAGAATATATTTTTAATTTTTTATTATGAAATAGACACACAGAAAAGTACACACAACATGAAAGTGTACTTAATAAATATTTAAAATGTGAACACCCATGTAACTTCCAACTGGATCAAGAGACAGGATATTACTGATATTCCAGAAACACACACTGATCACAAACCACACATTTCTCTCAGAAGTAACAACTCTTCTCACTTATATGATGGTAATTTTCTTGCCTTTTTTTTTTCCTTTTTAGTTTTACCTCCTATATATGTCCCTAAGTGACATCATTTAGTTTTGCCTCTCCTTGTGACCTATAAATGGAATCACACTGTGCATATTCTTTTATTCTTGCATCTTTTGCTCAAAATTATGTTTGTGTAAGGTTCATCCATGTGGTCACATATAGCTGCAGTTTCTTCATTATCATTGCTGTATGGTATTCCAGTGTATGCAGTACCATTTTAATCCATTCTCCTACTGATAGACATTTGGGTTGCTTCCAGGTGCTAGCTGCTGTGAACAAGGCTGCCATATATGCTGTCCATGCCTCCCAGTGCATGTGCTCATGACTGACTCTACTGAATATACTGATGGCTGGAAATGCTGGGGATTAGGGTATGCACATCTTCAACTTCACTCGGTAACAGGAAGCTGCTTTTTCCTAAGTGATTGTTCTAATTTATATACCCCGTACTAGTGCATAAGAGTTCCTGTTGGCCCACATCCTCTCCAACACTGGTACTCTTAGATTCTTAATTTTTTGCTACTTTGGTATTTAGTGTGTGATGATACCTCTTTGTGCTTTTTTTTCTTCTCATTGTGGTTTCAATTTGCAAAACCCTGATATCTAACGAGATCGGGAACTCCTTCATATGTTTAATGCCCTGAGTCCATATTCTTTAAAATTTAAATCAGTCTGGTACTCTGGACTTTAGGATTTTGGTATTATTCATACTAAGCACTTTATCTCATAGCTGATAATTATACAGGAAGCAAAAGAAACTCATTCATTGAACATCAGTTTGGAACTGGGCACCTCATGCACTTTGTCCTATTTAATCCTTGTAATATCTTTGCTAGTTGATGTTGTTGTCCTTATTTTTTAAGTGTCAGAACTGGCACCAAGCCATGCCCCTGTGCCTCGAAAGCCTAAAAATTCTTTACGGCGATCATGCTTCCCCCAAGAAATATCCTCTGCAGGAGCAAGATCATGACCAACATCCCTCTGTAGAGTCATTGTAGTAAAAACTCTCCCAAAAGAACTTCCAAGGTGGCCTGGTTAATATGACTAATTAGATAACTGCATCTTTAGATCAGTTTTTCCCTTAACACTCCTAAATCCATCCATTAATATTTAAACCAGTGAAAGGGTCTTTGATATTTGGTGGGATTTCCCTCATGAGAGTAAGTGGTGAGACACTTCAGCCACATGTTTATTTTTTCTGCCTGTGATAGGCACTTGTGAAATGATTAACACAGTCCAGTGGAGTTACAGAATACTCAATGACAGCCAGAAATAAAAGTAACAAGAGACAAGAGTAAGACAAACTAATCTCTAAGAGATATATTTTTATATAGATAATCAACTTATTAGGACATGCAACAACTTCAAACAACGGACAGTTTAAAAAAATTAATTTAAAACCAATTAAAGGATAAACATCAAGCAAGGCTTCTAAGAATTTATATGTTATTAATGCTGCCTTTTTCTTTTTACTATAAAGGTCTAATAAAAAGCCTGTAAATCCTGCAGATACAGAAATAATTTTCAAAGAATCAAATTAACTAGAAGCAATGACTCAGGTATGATATTATCTACAAAAGGGGATGAACTGAGCCTGCTTTCGACGTCCCTCCCTTGATGCTAAGAATAACTCTCAGAACAGGAGTAGCATTCTGTGCGTGACTCTCCTCTCTAGCGTCTTTACAAAATGACCTTTCAATGGGATCTCATCCAAAACTCTTCCCAGTGATGTAGACACACTGGTGACCTGTACCTTTGTTACCAACAACTTCAAACAGGACATTGCATCTATGAATATTAACCTCACGTTCATCCCACTCCATTGAAATGAATAGTGACAACAATTTTAGTAACCACTTCTCTACGCTTCACACATTTTGTGAGGTTCATTTTTTTTTTACTTCCCTCCCTGATACAAATCCTGGCTTGCAAAAGTGCTAGCACAGTGTTCACTTTCTAGCTGTTGATATTCCTCCATCCTCTCCCGTACCACCAATTGGCTACAAAGATTTAGAGGTTCAGTGATTATAGGATTTAAATTATTTTAACCCCTTTAAATTTGGAAACTCTTTAAATCCCATTATCTCTGCAGCCACTGAGAATTTTAAAATCAGCTTGGCCTTTTCTAGCTCCAGGTCTAGGGATTACAGAGTTTTAAAGAGTATAAATGCTTTTCTGCAGCTCTACAAAGAGCTGTCCCCAACCAGTTGACCTCCAGAAATTAAAGCCAGCCAGTTCTCCAGCTGGTAACTGCTGATCAGAGATTCTAAATGGAAAGATATGTATGTTACGCCACAAACCACCAGGAAAACAGGTAATTGCTTCCTCAACTCCACATGAAGCCAGTGAATCAGAAGATTTGATGTAGGAGGGGCAGCAGACTTTAGACATGTGTCAGTAAATGTCTAAGAATGAGAAAACAGAAAATGTCAGGGACCCAAAGAGGCTCCCTGGGGTAGAAAGAGTAATTCAATGATTGGAAGCCATCTCGATCCTAAAGAAAAGCTGTTACCATGGATACCCTCAAATCCTAGGTAACCCTCTGAGGTCTTACCTCTTGCGTCCTCACATTTATGTATCCATAGTGAGTTCGAAGGGGCCTCCTGTATGTGTAGGCGAATGGTATCCACTTTGTACCAGGTTGTCCAAAGCAGTTTAGTAGCAATGGGAAATTCACTTCATTTACAAGGCGCACGACCAGCAGGAAGAGGAACGCTGCTATGAAGCTCACTGCAATCACAGACTTTCTCTACAAAACATCAAAAAAAAGAATGAATGACTTTCAACGAAAAGCAGCCACAAAGGGAGGTTCCTTTATTCCTCTCTCTCTTTCTTTCAAAGGGATCAAAGGACTCTGTCTTTAGTATATTTCACTTGGAGACAGAAAATAATCATTTGGTGACCAAGTTGCCTTAGTGTGCTCGGCTTCCAAGAACAAGAAGAGCCTTCTTGGATTATCTTTCCACCCCATCCCTAGCCTTCCCTATACCTCCCTATCTTCCTTGAAAACTCATATTCAGTTTTCAAAATACAAATCAGACATTCTCACTATAGGAAGCCCTTCCTAACTGCTCAATTTCCTCCCCACCATCATCCCTTCACCCCCAACCTATCTACCCTAATAGAGGTAAGAAGTCCCACCAATCCCATACCTTGAGGGCCCTTTTATTGTTGTACACTGATGTTGGTATAATTATTTATGTGACTTTTCCTCCATGTAATTGTGAGTCCTAGAGAACTGGGATGTACTATGTCCTTCTGATCTCTGTATCCCAGGTCCTTCATGCAGTACCTTACATACTGTAGGCACCCACCAAACCCTTGAGGCACTTGAGTGAATAAATGGATGTTTTGCATTCTTGTAGACAAAGTCTCATCATTAATCATTATTCTGTTTCTTTATCTAGCACCTTCTACAGGCAGGAACCATTGCTTAAGCTATAGGATATACAAAAGTAAGCTTCAAAAAGCTAACGACAAGAGTAGGGGAAAAATCCACGCCAAGCAGAATAAGAACATCTCCCTAAATACGTTGTCATGGAACAAGAGCAGGAGCAACTGCCTCCGACTGGGGTCGGGGAAGCAGACATGTATTTGAGATTGAGCTTGATGAAATGCTTGAGTTTTAATTGATAGAGATGTAGGAGCAGAGCTTTCTAGGTAGAGAGAACAGGACAAAGAGGCAAGAAAACATGGGATATTTATAGCCACATAGCACTTTGTCTTACTGGGGCACAGAGAAGGAGAAAAAGCTGGAAACACAAATGATAACTTTGTGTTGAACTGCCTCAGATACCAAGCCAAGAAGTCTACTCAATTTGCTAGGTGATGGAAGACCAAAGGAGATTTTTGTTGGTTTGTTTATTTTATTTTTAAAAGGTGACTGTTACAATCAAACATCAGTGTTTAAGATGCTTTAGATTGGGGGACAGCCCAGCGGGATAATGGTTAAATTCACGTGTCCAGCTTCAGCGGTCCAGGGTTTGCAGCTTTAGATCCCAGGCATGGACCTATGAACCACTCATCAAGCCAGGCTAAGGCAGCATCCCACATACAAAATAGAGGAAGATTGGCACAGATGTTAGCTGAGTAACAATCTTCCTCAAGCAAAAGGAGGAAGATTGGCAACAGATGTTAGCTCAGGGCCAATCTTCCTCACCAAAAAAAAAAAAAAAAAGGATGCTTTGGATCAAGGAGAAACTGAAGATAGGCAGCAAGTAGTAAGGAGGCTACTCAAAATTGGCTAGGACAGAGGTAATGAGGGGTGGAAACTAGAGCAGTGGCAGGGAGCACAAAAAGGTGGAAAAACACATGAGAACTCAACTGAGGTGAAGGAAGAGAAATTGACTACTGATTGAACTGAAGTAGCAGATGGAAAATTCAGAGAAGCCTGAGATTCTGAGTCGAGGTAACTACAGTAATACTGGTCATATCAGAAGAAAACAGAGTCGTCGGAGCAGAAGCTGATTTAAGAGAAGGAGAAGATAAAGCCCTTGGCTTTCTTAGTCTTAGATTTCAGAGACTGGTGGGTCATCTGGGTGGAGCCGTCAGGTGGAAGCTCAAGTCTCCAGCAAGGAGAAAGAGCAGAGCTGAGGGCATGTGTCAAAAACAGCTCTGTCTTGAAGTCTAGGGTGAAGACACAATGAAACATCCCTCCGTGAAGGTGAGCTGGGCCCTGCTTCTTCTTCAAACTTAGAAAAGCCAAAGGGCTTGCTGGGAATGACTGAATGTTTGCTGCTGTTGTGTTTTTAGCTTACCACTTCCTGGTGGACTCAGCTTCTTTTTTGCTCTTTACAGAACATACCAAAAGCCCAAACACCCCAAAGCCATCCCGTATCCTCCCTGGACCCACAGTCACAGTCTCCGTAAGAGCAGTAGAACTAGCCCACAGAAGTCAGAGACACCCAAAGGCAGTCCTCGCTCACGTTCAGCTCCTGTAATTTGTAAAAGCCCCATCCCTCTGTCTAGCCAACCTAATTTTCCAATCACTTGAAAGTCCCTTGAGTTCTGCCTCCTCAAAAACCCTTATCTCACCACCAGCTACCACAGCCTTACCTCATTTAACCTTCTAATCATGAAAAACTGCTTTAATCTGCTCCTCGGTGGAATCATTATGTCCACAACATTGCAATGTGTCAAGGTAACAGCTTAAACGCGGTGATGGATCTTACAAGTTTAAAGGGACATAGACCAGAACAGATGGCTAAATAAAAGCAAAGAGGCCAGTCACCCATTAAGTAAACAGGTAAGAACATGTTTTATCGCCATCCGGTAGCTTGTTGCAAAACAGCAGCTTGCTTTGAAGGAGACCCAGATGGGACTTGTGCCTTTGTATATCCCCGAGCTCAGCATGGCTCTCTGCTTCTCTTGGTTGCCGCATTGCATTGCATGGCTGGGGGGTTGGGGACAAAGGCATGGAGGGCCTTTCTGAATTCCTGATTGTGCGTAGCAACACATACATAATGTATACATGAGAGGAAAATAAATCAACCATTTTGAGAGAAACTTCAAAATGCAATGAAATCACAAGCCTGCTCCCTAGCAATCCATGTCTGCCTCTCATGTTCCATCAAAGCGAACCGAGTAATGAGCTGAGAGAGGAGGAGGGGAGCAAACGGAGAGAGGGAGCCAATGCCTCTCCCTGGTGCTCCATCCGAATCAGATGCTGCAGTGGGTAGGGTGTTCCGTCCACGGCTCAGGCTGCCAGCCCAGTTTCTGTTGCACTCCCCAGACCTGATTCTTTGCCTTTCTTCATGCTTCCATATTCTTGTTTAACACGAAAGCATTCTCACAGTGCTGGTATAAAACCACCCTGAAATTTTACCAGAAAAGGTGTAACTTGAAACGTTCTGTGCTCCAGGTGGCAAGGACAACAGGACTCAATGTGCATGTGCATTCTTCTAGTACAGGAGTCCCCACTTATCCGCAACGTTGCATTCTCTGGTGTCAGTTACCCACGGTCAACCACGGTCTGAAAATACTAAATGGAAAACTCCAGAAATAAAAAATTCATAAGTTTCAAATTGTACGTTCTCAGTAGCATGATGAAATCTCATGCCATCCCTCTCCCTCCCCCCAGGGACGTGAATCATCTCTTTGTCCAGCGGATCCACATGTATGCACTATCTGCCTATTAGTCATTTAGTAGCCACCACAGTCAGTCAGTAGCCATCTCAGTCATCAGATCGACTGTTGTGATATCTTGTGCTTGTGTTAAAGCCACCCTTATTTTGGCACCCAAAGTGCCATTAATCTCTTACTGTGCCTAATTTATACGTTATCATAGGTATGTCTTGGAAAATATCCCCCCCAAATATGGGGGACTACCATAGTCACTCCTGCCAGATCACGACCTTGAGCATCAGCAATTACAATGAAAACAATGGATAGGCTTTTTGAAATCTACACACATCAGATTGCCCTGAGAACGTGCGTGTGTCTTGGTGGTAGGGATGTGGGAGTAGGGAAGTAGCAAAATAATGGCATGCGTGACATAAATGAACGTATTCACTTCTTCAAGTCACAATCTCTCACTGAGTCCACACTCTGTACAGACTTGGTGAAGTGCTGAAAACCAGAAATTTTACGGAAAAGACAGACCATGCTTCCAAAAAGTCACAATTTAGTGCACCTAGCAAGTAAACAGAAAATATAGTACCACCAGCCAAGTGATAGCAAGTGAGGTAATGGAGGTATGCGCAGGGCACTGTGGCAGCCCCGGGAGAGTGGGGGAGGGATGCGGTGGGACACTTCAGGGAATGCTTGTTTGAGGAGGTAGTATTCAAATGGAATTCTGAAGAATGAGGAGTTGAACAAGTGGAGAAGGGAAGGGCATTCCAGGCAGAGGGAACAACATAGACTAATGTATAGAAGTTTGAAAGGCATTAATTTGGTCAGAAACCTTCAAGTCATTTGGTAAGAAGAGTACAGAGACTGTATGTGGTGGGAGATGATGCTAGGGACATCGACAGGTTTCAAATCACAGAACAAAAAATAGTAAACCAAATATATTCAGTCAGATGTAATTATCTGTCCCATCTACCTTACATTAGGATAATGAAAGGATAAATGCACAAAAGTGCTATGTTTTATAATTTCAAAATATTCTTCATTTTCCAATCAAGTGAAAATGTATCAATCACTTCATTTTATTTGAAATTGCCAGTTAACACACCACAATGCCTGATTTCCAGTAGTTTCGCTTAAGTTTATTCCATCAGTGGCTTCTTGTGGTAACGGTTTTGAGTCCATCAACACCCCACAAATTAGAAGACTCCACCTGTTTACGCGTGTTCTATGTCTAACAATTTGTTAATGGAAGTGATCACTGCTGCCTTTATTGAAGTAATCAGAACGTCCTCTATGTCTGATGACCAACAGTTAGAGAAGAGAAACAACAGTGGGTGCTTGTCAAGTTTACAATCTATAAGGTTCAGCTTGACAAACTTTCATACTGCAAAAAACAGGCATAAATTTAATCTCATTCCTCTAAGATCAGAAGCATGAACATTAAATGATATAATGGGTGGGAAATGTAGAGCACAGTTTCAGGCACATAGTCAACACTCAAAAATGGAAGATGTTATTATTACGATATAACTACTAGTTATCAGGGCCTTCTTGGACATTAGCCAGTTGCTAGGCATTGGCCAGCCCATGTGAATGCATGACAAGATCTTAGAGAAATCTTTTTCTCAAATATTCCAAGCAGCTGCATACCCCTGAACTATTCAGTGCAACTTATCCATACAAGCTCTGAGAGAATGTCACTGTGCCCAAATAGATCTGAAGAATTGCTTTAGGGAAAGCTTTTTCCTTCTTTGTTCTTCATTTTGGGCAAGTCTGAAGGGGCCTCTAACAGCTGAGACATTTAGAATTTAATCCCCTCTGTGCTGCAAAAATATGCATCAAAAATGTGGCATTCCAGTTGCTCGCTCTTTAGAGTTGGAATATCATTTATCAGACTTATTGCACAAATACCTATTTCAAAATAAAACCCACAGAGAACTCATGATTTAGGGAGAAAGCAATCGCAGACTTGGACCTAGCAAATTTGCAAGTTATATTAACATTTGTATGTTTTTATTCTTTCTACCACAGAATTAGTCTTTAACCACAAAGTCTTTACGTTTTGATTTAGTCAGTTGCTAGATTTTTTGTTTCTTCCTCATAAATGATAAACAACAGTATAAAAGTGCATTATTTAATTTAAATAGTATTATTCAATGACTGAAGTAGTCACATAGGATGGCAAAATGGTTTACATTTTTGTCATATGCTGTCACTTATCCAATAATAAATGAAATACAGGGTCAATTGTATTATTTATATCAGTACTCAGTCACCTCACACATTGATGAGTCCCTACCCATTGCCTATTTGTGACCTTATCAAATACAAATTCTGCTCCTGTATAAGAAGTTGTGTTATCAATGTAATTCTACCTTGTGTCATTGGCCAAGCTCCAAATCTGGTTCTCCCAGAATGCAGTAAAGCTTCCTCCCATTTGCACAAGGATGAATTAGCAAAGCTCAGAGTATATAGATAAAATCTTCATTTGTTTTATTTTATCTGTTGAATCAACAAGCTGGATCCTGCTTATTAAACTATAGTGAACTCTACGGGAAAATCTCACTCATTCATTATGGAGGTAAGAAAAGGAGGGTAATAAAAAGTTGGGCAGTTCTAGATGAGTGCAGTCCATACACGACCTTCTCAAGGGCAGGCTTTACACAGCCTAGCTGACGATAGAATCATTGAGGTCATCAGGTAGAGAGTCGTGAATGTCAAGCAAGGTCGACACGGGAGAACGAGCAGCATTTCAGAATCTAGGAGGCTTGTGAAGAAAATGCAACAAAGTAAAAAATAATACCTATTTTGAGAGTAGTCTTTGAAGAGGGCAGAGGGAGTGGAGCTAGAGAGGCAGGAAGAGATCTGATTATGGAAGGTCTTGTATATCATGGCAAAGAGTCTGGACTTACACTGTAGAATCCAAACAAGAGGTGCAAGCATGAGATAGAGAGGATCAGAGTTGATTTTGGAAAGCTCACTCTGCAGGTGGTGTGGTCAATGGATGGGAATGCGGGAAAGATCCTTTCGGGAAAGACAAGGACAAGAGCAATGGAGGACCACTTCATCAAATACCACTAATGAACATAAATTCTCACTATGAAAACTGCAAGTATTACTTTCAGAGACTGACTTTTCTTCTCCCAGTAGGGGCCCTGGGAATAAGGTCCAGATACAGTGTATATGTATGAATAATCACCATAGTCTAATAGAAGATAATATCTAATTAGTGTTATCAGTAGGAGAAATACTTCTGTAATCCCCATTTTCCAGACAAAGAAATAGAGATATAGAGAGGTTGAGTGACTTGCTCAAGGTCACAAAGCAAGGAAATGGTAAAGACAGATACTGAACTCAGATATCTTGACTCCACAGCCTATGTTCTAGTGTATGAATTAACTAAGTGGTTAATTGTTACTCAGACCAATGGTAATACTCGTATAGGACTGGCTCAGAAGTTTTAAAAACTGGTACTAGCCCTAAGTAGATTTTGTAATACACTTTGTCAATAAACAAAATACTTAATTCATATGGAAAATTAAGAGGCTGATCTGAAGTATGGTAATTATATTTACTTCATAATCAGTAATTTGTGGGCAAATTTAATTCTGGCTTTATTCCCAGTTTTAAAAAGACAACTACAGGGTCCCATTGGTTAGCACTAAGGGAAAAGAAAGCAATTATTCTTCCACTTCTGCTAGAGAATATTAGGTGTCCCTTGTCAATCAAGAGTATGGAGTCTTATTGCAGGCAGTTTGTGGAACCAGCATAAAACAGGTCTGTCTGCCTTTCTCAGCTTCACAGTTCCATCGTTTTTCTAATCAATAAAATGCAGTGAAACAGCAAAATATTGATGATATCATTTAAAAAATTAAGTATAATTTAAATTTAAAGCAAACAATTTACAAGTATAAATATGGAGACCTACTTTAAAAATCTGGAGCCCACATCAACATGTCATCATCAGACACATGTGTAGCCTAATAAGAATTACAAATCCAATAAACAAAAACCAAGGCCATAGAGTCCTCCTGGGTACCATTGTCATAAATTATTCTGGGCAAAAACTAGTCCTGGGGGAGAATTATAGGTAGTAAAAATTTCTTCAGAGATTTTTTCCCCAAAAGAGACTTCCCATAGCTACAAACACTATAGAGAATTTTAGGTTAACACAAGCACTATGAATTTGTCAGATAACATGATGAAAGGTCACAATGGACTTTCTAACACTTATTTTAAAACCATGAGGAAAAATGTCAATTAGTTTTTAATATGCCCACACATTTTTCTTATTTTATTTGGGGAGGGGATTTCAGTTTTCTGCCCTGATTTGATTTTTAAACTGCTACCATATCAAAGGAAAACAATCATGGCTACAGCCACTGAGTTTGCGCCATTTTGTAAAATTATGTACAACCAGTTTTATCTCATTTGGTCTCTTCATCTTTATCATATTGCTTCAGCACATGTCCTTTCACATAGCAAAAAGGAAATCAAAGTTCTTTAGAAACACACCATAGAGCTGAAGATTAATTTGGAGCGTGTAGAATGACGGGTCCAGAAAGCAAAGTCTCTGGTGTCACTGTACAGACAGACACAGAGAAACTTAATCCAGAGGGCTGGTTCTCATGATGAGAACATCAGAGACCGGGGACCGTTGTCCTCTCCCTGTGCCCCTATTCTCTGGTGGGAAGAGAGGTGCTAACTAACCAGGGACAATGAAGGTAATTAGGGCATCAGCCGCTTTTGTTTTATTCTCAGCCACCTTACAGCCTTCACTGGCCTTATTTGGTTTCTCAAACATCTGCTTGGCATCTTTCACTTTTAAAGAGATGCATTTGTCTCTTAGAATCCAATTCTTAGTTTTGAGGTGTTCAGGACACAGAAGTGGAGCAAGGATAAATTCTGGTGGTCCTAGTGTCATTAGGGAGGGGGTCCTGCCCAGGGACATCATGATAATGATGAGAATGACAATGATGATGACCCCAACTGGGACCTCTTATTTTTCAGTGAATCTAGGTAATGTTACACTGAACAGCATGTTCCTTTCTAAGACCTATCACCTCACATGATACTCCCTATGACCAGTAAAGAAAGAACGGAAGTTTGGATGCTTGAAAGTCTCACCTCCCATCTCTCCCTTCAGGTTGGACTTCTCACCATTCTCCAAAGCCCCCCGGCTGCCCAGTTCCTGTGACGTTGTCCAGGCTGCTCCTCACTGGCGCCCTGCTGTTTTCTACCATCCCTATCTCTACAAGTTCAAATGCAACTCAGCTCAAATGGTGTTTTCTCCCTAAAGCCATCTGTTCCTCCTCGCTTAGGTCCATGGCTGGGGTGGGGCGGGGTGGGGTGGGTGGAGAAGGAAGATAGAGGAAAGAAGTAAGGAGGAGGGCGGAGGGAAGGAAAGATTCCCCTATAACTTTGGCTTTAAAACTTTCTTGAGGACATGAACAAAGTCTGGGAAATCTCTCTCATACGGGCAGCACCAAGCACAGTGTCTGGAATTTAGAAGATATTCAGTAAATATTTGTAGAAGAAGTGAAACAATAAAGGAGACAAAGAAAGAA